TTGAACTTGCATTGTGGCCTATCCCCAGCTATCACAATTTATACAGTCCTTAATAGTTTTACAAAAATTGGACCTGTGGTCGGAATCGGTGTAGGCAATTAATCAACTTTTAGGTGTTGACTCACACGTGGATTCTAATATTGTGCTACTTTCTAAAAGTTTAGGTAATCCATCAGCTCTTAGAAAACTCAGCGAGGCGTTTGGAGTAAACACAGAGTCAGACAAGGATGCTGGCTTATTATCACCAATGAATGATATTCTTAATTGTGGTGGACTGGATTATACGTCAGACAGTGGAAAACAAGAAGACAGGGATATCCTGGACCGAAGTGAAGAACCTAGTAGACCTGGATTTCGCGCGTGGATGGTTTATGTTTGATGTCACACACAATCGAAGACTTACAAGCGAAAACCGACAAACTGGTCGAAGAAGCAGCCGGCGAAGACAGGACTCCAGTTGAACATAGACAAGACGGTGGTTATGAAAATAATCAACAAACCAACAACAACAACAGAAACATCCAGCGCCAATCACCATCAACGGGAGGGATTTGAAAGAGGTTACTTCATTCACTTACTTATCTAGGGAGCATTGTCTCAACTACAGGAGGAACGGACGAGGATGTCAAATCGAGCGAGAATCGGTAAGGCGAGAAACACACTCATCAACCTGAAACCAATCTGGAAATCTTCGTCACTCACTCAGCATCAACAACAAAATTCGGTCAGATTTTCAATACAAACGTAAAGTCAGTTCTTCTATACGGATCAGAATCTTGGTGGGCGGGTCACAAAGAATATTTCCAACAGCCTGTTTCAGACCTTTATCAACAACTAACTGTCTTCGCTCTATACTGAAGGTCAGATGGCCGGAAAGAATCACCAACAAGGAATTATGGGAACAAACAAAGCAAGAACCAATCGCCCAACAAATATGCAGGAGAAAGTGGAGATGGATCGGACACTCGCTGAGGAGACCGCTGGGTGACATCGCGCACACGTCAGTTCATTCCTCGAGTGGATCCAGGCCGAAAGAGAAGAGGCGACTGGGACGTTATTGCAAGGGTGACATGGAGGAGATCATGTGAAGAGGAGTTGAAAGGGTATGGACTAACATGGATGCAGGTGAAAAGTACAGCAGAAGGAAGACAGAAGCAAGTGGAGCCGTGTAGTTGAAGCCCTATATTTCACTAGGAACCCAAGGGAACAATAATAATAATAATAATCTTAGAAGCAAAATAGGTACCAAATGCATAAAAATACAATTCTATTAGTTCAGTAAACTGTATTTTTTTTTCAATTAACTGGGATGAAATTATGAGTTCAGATTTTCGCCTTCATATATTCAAAGTGTAATATAAATGGTTTCGGATTAATTACAATGTATTTTCACTATTCAAGTAAGTAGCAATAAATGGTATCTTAAATTGTCTATGTTTAAGAGGGGATAAATCAACATATAATTATCGTACAAGAGTGAGTACATATTCTTTAGACGTCGTTTATCTAAGTCTGCTTGTTCAAGGTGTTTTCTTCTTGTTATGTTTCGTAATGCGTTGGGATTGAAATAGGGACGCCAAGTTGGACACACTTGGTGATCACGCATAGCGCTTGACTACACCAACAACATTATACAACAGCTATCTGTTTCCTCAGTTCGTTCTACTCAAGTGAGAACACAGAACGTCGTGAGCCGCAAAGTATATTTTTTTAAATGCAGTCATGTATGATTCAAAATATCACCAAGGTTACGCCAATTACTCTGTAGTCAGGATCAATAAAATAGTGTGCGTTACTTTATGGAGGTCATTTCTGATTGGCTTATTTCCAGAGGTGACACCATCACTTCTGTGGGCCGATTTTGATTGGTTGATTTCAAGACTGGACATCGATCACTATTTCACCAATAAGGCATAATCCTTTGTTTATTTGTTTACATTGTTTTGCTGCACCTGATACAAGCTAGGCCCGGATTTAGGAATCCATTAATCGGGAATCGAAACTGGTTAACGAGCACTGAACCATCTATGCTGTTTAGGGTTTTTACTGCTTCGGGAAGTAGTTGTTGTTTCTACATAAAAGTGCCTTTAATAAACTAGTTCACTTCCAGTTTTCACTGTCTCTCTGTCTTTCGCAAGTTAATAAATAGTTAGACTGTTTCACGAAGAGTAACTTTGATATCAAACAAATGATGTTTCCTCTGGATAACCAACTACTGGTACTTTGTCTTTTTCCTATTATATATATATATATATATATATATATATATATATATATATATATATATATATATATATATATATACTTACTTACTTTACTTCGGCTATCTCCTACGGGAGGATGAGCCGGCTTCATGAACGTCTCGAATCATCGCTGCCCAGGCGCGGCAATTTGTAAGAGAGTTCATGAAGTTTCATGGGAATTTGGTACGAGTGATGTCCCCAGCATCGCTCGGCCTTTTGTTTGAGAGTGCAGCTCTAGCCTTTACACAGCCAAGTGTGACCTACAAGGCAGTAGGAGTGGAGTAAGGAGTCCACTATCCATTGGCAGCCGGTGACCGGAGTTCGGTTCATACGCCTTTTTGAATGGGGTCAGACATCCAGGACATCCAACAAGCCCTTTGTCCATACGTCTGCCGGTGAGCTCCAGTGTGCTTCATACGCCAGTCGTTGGAGGTTTGGAATCAGGGTTTAGCCATCTCCCCTAGACTGTCATCCAATGGACAGTCAACCCGGTGGAGAGCGCCGGGCATCCGCGCTTTATATATATATATATATATATATATATATAATTGTTCTATAACCATCAAATATCTAAAAGGGAAAGGTCAAGAGCTATGTTCTCTGAGGTCTCTTCGTCAACTCTTGACAAAGGGATTTTAAGCACGGCGCAATTCATGGCGGTTCGGATGCTTGTTAGAATACTAAATATCATATTGTCCCAGCAGTAGAGTGCTCGCTAACCACATACATGGTGCTGGGTTCAATTCCTTGCGAACGCACTCCTAAATATTGCTTGTCCGGTAGTGAGAGTGAGAAAGGGGGGGGGGAATGCTGGACGTTAGGGCTAGCAAACCCACCCCATAATAGAGAATAACACTATTGCTATCGAGACTTCAAAGCTCAAGCTTGAAGCACTCGGAAATCAAAGGAATGAAATACAATTATTTTTTTTAATAACACTTCATGGATGCAAATGTGCAGTTCACTTTTTTTCGAAGTCCATTCAATAATAATCACCCAGCTAACATAATCGTAAGAAACATGAAATGCATACATTTTCAACATTATCTTATCTTGATTTAGTATAAATTTAGTGTTTATTCCTATTTTAATGTAACAATTGTACCATATGTATGAGGGAAAAAAAGTTTTCTGATAATACACACGGCATTTTTACTACAGAATATAAGATAAGAACATTAAATATGCTTGTTATTTTCGTTTTATTCAGGGGGTGTATCATGATCTCTTCGTTATCAGACTGATACGGTATCATTTATGTTAGTACTTTTCATAATATATATATATATATATATTCACCAATCATTCGAAATTATACCTCGGTTTTACACAGTGGTGGATCTATTCATTAGACTTTTGTAATTGCTGAATATTTACAACGATTTAGCAAAAAAAAACTTGTAAGAGTAGAATTTTATTATTAGATAAGTTTAATTGATGTAATTCGCCGTGGTACCGTACATTAATAAATAATACTGTATCAGTTGTGTGTTATATCGGTAAGTCTGCAATGTTTTGCAAACAGTCAGGATATTTAACACGACTGTTAGCGGGCTAACAGTATCTCTGTGATTGTAGATCATCTTAAAAATTATCACAATGATAAAATCCTTTCATTCTCGTATGCATGCTTGCATACACTTTATTTACTCTACATGGACTTGAACTTGTTTACAGGATTTCATCATGAGCTGACATCGGTTAGAGAACCGTTGGAGAACCTGGAAGTACTGGACAGCTGTTTCGTCCTAGTTTGGGACTCTTCATCAGTACGAACCCACCGGAATTCGAACCCAGGACCTTCTGGTTACAAGGCCAGCGAGCTTGTAGACCGTTTGGCAGCCACTCGGAACCGATCCAATGGCCAATGAATTCCAACTTTCGTCCCACTGGCTTTAATGGCGTACGAGCTCGCCTTGCAACCAGAAGGTCCTGGGTTCGAATCCCGGCGGGTTCGTACTGATGAAGAGTCCCAAACTAGGACGAAACAGCTGTCCAGTACTTCCAGGTTCTCCAACCGATGTCAGCTCATGGTGAAATCTTGTAACCGATCGACCAAATCCCTACAAACCAATACTTGAATATCTTGAACTTGTCTTAAAAAAGAGTCAAGGGTTAACTCCTTCAACTGAGTGTGCTATTTCGCTTCACTGTGTCTTTTGGGGTTTTCAGCGAGAAACACGCATTGAGATGCCTGTTTCAAAGTAGGAAAGACCTGGCACTCTGTCTAAGGTTCTAGGAGTCTTTGAAGGTTGTCAGAGTGTTGTTTATTTATCACTTTACGCGTTGATTGCGGAAATTTCGATTTAATTATCTAATTCCCACTTGTTTTGCATAACAATATGGATGTAGTCCGCATTTATAAAACATTCAACATTTGACCGCTATATAAACAGTAGTGAAATTCCGACTTCATTAAAGGAAAAGATGAAACAAAGTTAACTATGTCGAATAAACACTGGTCAACACTGACGCTGAAATATCCGTAGCCTAATTTCCCTGGATTGTACTATGACCAGTCTTATATGAAATGCATAACCAAATGGTGTATTGTTTGCACACAGCTTTTTGTGAAGTGTTGTTACTTACTCTCTGATCTAGGGGTCAGGTGGGCAGCTAGGTAATGAGCCGTTACACCTCAGGATGTAAAGTAATGACTGACGACTAGATGTATATGTTTCTTTCATAAAGCTTATTCAACCCGTTCATTTTGTCCCATACAAATATATACATATTTTTCATTTTTGTTGTTAACAGGTTGTAGTTATAGTTATCATATGCGTATTTGCCAGTTTCTTTCTTCAACCAAAATTGATACCATTGCCAAGATCGAATTCACTTATTTATAATTCAACAGTACCGAACAATGTTACAGCTTATGCTAAATTCACTAGTTTAAATGGTGATACACTGAAGGAAAATGTTTTACGTAAGTAAACAACGTTATCATTATTATTGAAAAACATATAATACATATTATATTTAAAAAAAATCAGAAATGAATGATTGTCGTTTTGTCTTTGCATTTTTCTAACAAATCATTGTTTTTATGTAATGCCTTCTCATACCGTTTGTCAGTTATTTCGAGGTCATTACTTAGTAGTAAGCAATCCTAAGCCTTTAGGTCGTATGAATAATGTGCTGCACCCGTTCTATGCAGTGTTTTAAAAGCTTATTTTCATAGCCTGCTTACCTGTTACAAGCTTGTTGTGGCTGTTCCATTGACTTATATATGTTTTTTATAAAAGTCTGGCTAAGTCAAACAACTGTGTGTGATGCTCACTTTATATAGTTCCGTGATTGTTGGTTATCGAGGATATACATCGTTTACACATCATCCACGGAAATTTAAACCATACGGTGATTGTATGACTTTGAAGATCCTCCAAAAATCACTGGGGGACTGTCCAATCAGGTTATCAAGTCAGTAAATGCATCAATCATGACTCATGGCTTACGACGATAGGTTGTTCATCCTAACAGTGTGACAACCAGGTCATTGTAATAGTATGACACTGTATAACTATTTGTTAGAAAGTAGATATTAGGCCAAATGAACTTGTCTGGTTTTACAATTCATTATTTATTCAACTATGATAACTTTGGAAATCTATCAAGGATGTGTCGTCTTGTGGACAATCCATGTCCCGATACCTATCTTTGCTTTCATAAACAGTGACGTGGAGGAGATAATGTGAAGAGGAAATGAAAGTGTGTGAGCAATTGTGGAGGCAGCTTGAAAAGAATACAGAGAACAGAACAAAATGGAGATGCACAGCTAAAGCCCCTGTGTTCCACTTGGGGAACGCAAAGGAATAATATGATGATGCTTCAGGATGCGTGTGTTTTGGTGCATATTCGCTCCTTTTAGGAAGAGGTTATTCTGCATTAACCCTAAATATTTTGGTCTTAGGATTTTTGGGACACCATTCCGTTGATGAGTCTCTAGTGCTTCGCCTTTACTACGGCTGACTGCCTTCTAATCTGATCAGAAATAATCAGATTATGGGTTTTGTACCGATTCGGATTAATCTCGATGCAGATTTCGTCAAAAACTATAGTGTAGCTATAGTGTCGTTGGAAACCAAGCGGCACTGGACAGATGTCTGTTTCTATTTCGTGACTCCTCAGCAGAGCACACCTATCACAACTGGAACTCTTGCATTTAAAGCTACAAGGCTGGTTCGTTGACCATTCACAAGTTGACAAATGTTACAATACACTGGTCATTTAATTCCGTTCTAGTGACCGACTGGTAAACTAAGTGACTTCGTAACCTTAAAGTTTCGGTTTCCAGTCATGGTGTAACAACAGAAGACAGGGGCGGCAACAGATCCTTTTATTACGGAAATCAGCAGGTATTTACATATATTTCATGTATATTATTATAGCTTATTCAATCAGACAAACACAGTCTTCTGATTGGTTGTTTCTGGTTTCTCGGAAAGTGGAGCCATCTATCTGCGACTCATATTTGCCCACGTTTAAGTCTACTGTGATTGGTTGTTCAGTCAGCCTTGTTCATACTTTCTCACAGCCAATATTAGTGACCTAGACATTGACGTAAATTGATGTCTACCGATGGGCTAGCACCTGCTCTCACCACAATGGTAGGATTTTTAAAGCTCAGTGCGCTGTGGCGTCTCAAACTAGAGTGAAATAGCTGTGTTTTTCTCCTTGGTTTCCTCGTCGGTGGTGAAATCTTCATTGATGCAAATAAAGTGTCAGTTTGGCTGACGAACAAAACTGAATATATATATCAGAGCTGGAGACTGAATCTTATTATTTTTTTGCAACTGTTGCTTTTTCTCCCTATCCAGTATATTGCTTAAGACATTATAGTCAAGCTAAACACTTCACTGTGCCCAACTGTTTGTCTGAATTCGTTTCCTTCAGGAGAAAAAGAAACAAATTTCTCAGTTATGCAATTTTTCGTTCGAGCATATATAAATTCGACTGATAGTCTTGTTTATTTTTGTATTATTTTGAATTAATCATCTAAGTTTGTCATATTCTTCTCTCCTTTTTTTCGCATTTATCGTGTAGCTATGTATTCTACTGATTACACTACTGGCTCAGTGACATCATTTGTGATTGTTTTCTCTGTGCTATTCTCTGGTGTGACAGGAATAATGAATGGTGCAAATGTCTCCGGTATGCTAATACTGCCTAATTTTGGTTATTGATTGATGGATACAATATATAGATATGTATATATTGTAACAATATTAGTTTTCAGTCTCATCTCGATTAAGTGTCTGCTGTGAATTCTCACATACCATGTATGGTGTAAAATGTAACTACATCGTGAAAATAAATTCTCTGCCTCTCCCTTCCTTTCCACATATTTACATATTTATTCCGAATGTAGTGGATATGCGCTAAATATGCAGTCTAAAAAAAACAATGTGATTTATCAGTTAGCTGTGTCAGACTTATCTATCTTCAGGTGTATCCATCATCTGGTTCGCGAAAATCGATGAATATATATGTGTAGTAGGACAAGTGTCTATTGGAAGCCACTAGATGGCTGATATTGCTAATTTATCTGTATTGGAAAAAAAAAACATTGAATTACCATACGGCGGTCAGTCTTCCGCCGTATAATTTTTTGCCCTGTATTTGTCCAAACATTTTAAAATATGACAGTATAAAATAACATGCTGCTAGGTTGGTCAATATAAATTAGAATAAGTTTCTAGTCTACTGATAGTCCTGTGTTTGAATAACTTATGGCCATGGTGTAATACTGTTGGCTCGATGGCCCGTTAATAGACTAACCTAATTCATTGTTCTGTTTTCTGAATTAGCTCATACCTTGGACTTTTATTCCCAGACAATTTTGTCTTTTGTTTTGAAATAGTTTTCAAATTTTCAAGCAAAAGTTGCTTTTTTCTTCATGGTGGTAGTCGTATCACCACGGACAGATGACGATATTAAATCATGTGCGTCGGTGGCACAGTGGTTAGGACTCTCGCCGACCATGCACATGGTCCGAGGTTCGATCCTCTGCCGACGCACACATGATATCTATGGTCGGTCTGCTAAATTTGGGCTACCGATATCTATGCTGAAAATTCCATACTTGTACCAAAAATACAGTGTGGAATCAAGCTGTAATCAAAAATAAAAAATAAAATAAAAAAATAAATCATCAGTCGTAAGTGAATTCGTGAAATACCAGATTGGCTTTGTATGTGTCAATGCAAAATCAGAAAGTTTTATTGTATGTAGTAGGTGGTTTTTTATTTCCACAAAGTTCGTAATAGCGTCCCAACGGATGTGAACGCACGAGTGACCTTCAGCCGACCAGTCATGAAGGAATGAGCAATTTCTGCACAAAAAATGATGTATATGTACAAGAAAATGCATGAAAAAACACATTACACAGGTTATCTTTCTCTGACATGACTTAAAAGTACGTTCAAGTTGTAATGAGAAGTTTCAGTTGCTGAGTTAGATTAGTTTCTGCACATGTATTCACCGAGGTGACTGAAGATGAGCTATTTTTGTAAATCGTTCATCTTTCTTATCCTGTTGTGCAGTCTTCCCCAAAAGCCCTCGGTTGAATTACTATGGTTTCCAGTAAGAGGATCAACGACTACTTACCAGGAAAATGTGGATAAGAAAACAAATTGAAATAAATGACATAAACTATTAATCTATCCCTAGTCGTAACGCTGACCCTAAAACTAACCCTAACCACAATACTTACCTTGGTCCTAATCCTTACGAGCTATTAACACATTGTCAAAACAGTACTTAAAACGTGATCTGAGTGAAATTTGCTGCTTAGTTGGTGAATAGCGTTGATATTTCAGTTATGATAATGACAGGTGCCGTCACCCAACGACTTGCATGCGTTCAAGGTCATTGGAGCTATTGTTGAACTTCGCCTTTGTTCTATCGCGTTCTTAGGAGAACACAGGGGGTCTCAAGCTTTAAGCTTCGGATTTTTGGTAAAGGTTTTGTTTTTCAGCAGTGAGATTTTTAGCCCCAGGGGCAATATCCCCTCTTTACTAGTCGTATTACCGACAAGGTGAGGTTTAGAAGTGCATTAGCAGGAGATCGGAAACTGGCCCACATTCATGGTTGGTGACTGTTCTATCACTTAACAAATCATATAACAGATTACTGTATTTTTCATAACACTCTAGTTTATCATCATCAGCCAATGATATACTAGCCAGTTAATATTGACCCCAGAAATGTTAGCAATTACAAACAGATGCGTTTCTAATTGATGCTTATTTTATGTAACTAACAAATCAATGACCGTGTCAACTTCTTATCATTCTTACACCATAGTTTCTCAGTACGTGTTTTCAACTTCAAATATTTTCTCTTATGGATACATTTAAAAGTCTTTTTTATTCATTGTATTTCGTATAGGTGAGTTGAAGAATCCTTCTCGATCAATTCCTTTGGGTACACTGTCGGCGCTTTTGTGTACAGCATTAATTTATCTTATTATGATCATTTTCTCAGCCGCTTCAAACAGTAGGTAAGAAAGCATTTCTGTTCAGTTGGGTTGTTCTTTTTAATGAAAAACAGTATTTCCAATTAATAAAAAAAGTTTATTCTCTGTACTACATTTGGTTACTCTTAAATTCTTTAGACCCCAAAATGCCAAGTCTAAATGGTTTTAAACTTTTTGAGTGAACCATTGTGTAACTGTCTGATTTCCATATCAACCAATTAAGTATTTTACGTAGGCTGCTACCTATTTGATTAGTTAACTGAAGATCTTCAGTTTTCCAGGTCATTTTAACACCATATTACATCTTGTTACAGTAGGATGTCATCTTGGCCAATAGGACCACGGGACTTTAACCCTTTTGATAATCTAACATGGTCTCTTCACAGAGTGAACTTCCTTCCAGTTGTCATCTCTTTCCTGATTGAGTTGATAATCTTCAAGCTGTTTGTGTAGAGGTATGCAGTGTGTGTTTGTGTGTGTTAAATGTCCCATCTTAACTGCTCTTCTGCATGTCATTCATTCCCCAAATGATTGCTGTGCATTTTTTATCCGTTAAATACTCGGTTTCCAACAGCAATAATTTATTGTAGCAATACAAAGTATAGTGATTAAGCAGGTCCTCATCATAATAAGTATTCAGCCTTGTTAACTGTTTTCAAAAACAATCGCAAAGGTTAGATCGCACTTGGATTTTGTGTGTGTGTGTGTCTAAAATCTTCTATTATCTGTACCATAGACAAAATATAGGATCATCTGTTCAAAGATGATTGTTCAATAGTAAAATGCCGCCAGGCATGCACTTGGACGACGCACTCCTGAATTTCGCCTAACTTACCAGCCGGTTATAATTCCGAAAAAAACACTGAAAATTGAGAAGCATGAAGCCCAAAGTTCCGTTCGGAGCTCCAGGGAGTGAAATATATACAATAACATCGGTCATATGCATGGAATACTCACACATAGTTACATTGTTGGCGAACATACCATGTTGAAAACACTGGTTCTTGTCTGATCCACAAAGTTGAACGGAGAAGTGTCACTCTGTTTTAAGCACTCGACTTACACTCGATGTTTTCTGGGTTTGAATGCCTCTCTCTACCTACCTCAGCCTAGGCAACTGGTTAGTACCAGCAATTCGCATATAATGAGTATGGTTGGTAGTTCGTCGTATGGAGAACCTTTTACTGATAACTGAGTTTAACAGTCATATTGTGGTGGTGTGATACAGACAGTGTATGCCAACGGAATATTATTCTCAAATATTCCCACAGTTCAATATTGTAGTAGCAACACAATACTAAATATCTTTTTGAACATTCTATTTGATGTTACAGATAGATTACGTTTCCCATGGTTATATACTGCATTGCATGGAGAATTTCATCATGAGCTGATATCAGTTAGAGAACCAATACACGACATAGTGCGACCGCTGTTCTATTCTACTCAACAGTTAATTTCTGCCTAATTTAGTTTGATTTGAACAGCAGGAAAATGATGATTACACAGAGGCATGGATATCTTCGCACGACTAGTGTATTCCCTCGAATGCAGTTGTGGAACAGTGGAGCTTTGAGGAAATATCTTTTAACCTTAATTAACCTTAATAGGAAATAGTCTTGGCGTAACTACGCTAGTTCTTTAAACCACTTGTTAAAGAAATATTTTAATGTATTCATTTATATATATATATATATATATATATATATATATATATATATATATATATATTTCTTCTGCTATATTACACAGATATCTGTTGTTGAACAATAATATGTTTATGCAGTCGATTAGCTTTTGGCAACCGATTGTTGTCATTGGTGTCTTTGCAACTACACTGTCAGCTGCGCTGGGTAATTTGATAGGAGCCTCGCGAATCATTGAAGCGTTGGCTCGTGATGAATTATTCGGTAAGTTTACTTCTCCTTTCGTTGGAAACTATGTTTAAGAATTTGAGTATAGTCTTACACTTGATTCTTCCCTAATATCACGCTTATATTGCTCAATATTTTCCATTAGAAATTACTGGTCTTATTTAATGTTCGTAATTAAGTTATCTGCTTACATCGAGGGAGAGAGAGAGAGAGAAAGGGACAGTATAATTTTTATTTTGTGTAGTGATCACTGAGGCATAAGTTAGCATGTTGAAGGGCATCGTTTACTTTCTTTATGACAGTAACTCATGTTTTATTGCATTCTTCTGTTTAGATTACAAATGGTTATTGGATAGGTGGTTTATAAAATGTTCTACGATAAGCCTCAGCATTGTACAAGCAGTTATGTCAGATCCCATACTGTACACCCATTTACCTATGTTTTGGTCACCCATACTCAAGGAGGAGTAATCGTGCTTTACTCGTCAAATTGAGAGAATATACACCCAAAAGTAACATTAGTAAATAGAGGGCAAACATGCCATATTGCTTACTTGAGATTATTTTATTCTTGAATTGAATTTTAGGTTTTCCCGTCGATTGATTGGACCGAAGTGCTTGGTCTCAGGTTGACATGTCGGCTTCCAGTCAATCGAACATCTGCACAAGTAGCCACCATGTCAACCTGAGACCGAGCTTTTCGGTCCAGTGAATCAACGGGAAACCTAAAATTCAATTAAATAATTAATATGACCCGTTGCACAAGACGTGGCTCTCGTGGCCCAAGTAGTCTAGTGGATAACGCCTTGGCGTTTGAAACTGTGGGCACTGGGTTAGAGCCTCGGTGGGAACATCAACACTCACTGCGGAATGCAGGTACATCCAGCTGGCGAGTCCCAAGTGGAACGAAATGCGCATCTCGGATTCCACTACTAGTCACCATCCACCAATTAAATTCGAATTATTTTCTGCTTTTTTTTTTAGTAAATGTAATTGTTTAACTAAGTCCTTTGTAGACTATCTCTAGTAACCGTAAAAATTATGTAGCGGTTGCTTGATTTCAGCAGTGTATACCAGTCAAATATGCGGACAGGGAAGCATTGAGGAAACTTTTAAATGATATCACATGCTAGGCCTCCAAAAGTGGAACGTGAATAAGGAGCGACGAGTTGAGCTTCTGAGGTCAGCATAGTGAAGATCATGTGAAGAATTCACGAAAGCTTTCTGGCCAGTGGAGACACCAATTGAAAGTGATGGTGAGGAAAACTCAGTGCAACAGACATGTTTCCCTGAATTCCTATATTTCAATCGGAGCCCAAGAAACAAAGAGTAAACAATTATGGGAAATCGAACATACAGTCACATCTATGCAGTCAACAAAATAAACTTGTTAATTTCGGGAAGTGTAACATTCTTAATAAGTTTGCATCTAAAATTCAGTGTTAGGATTAAAACGTGGAGTATTTTGATCATATTCATCTAAAATTTTATAATAGTGTTTAGTAGTTATGCTTTATTTCTATAATATTTTTTTTCTTTTTTGATTAGGTCCCGTACTTCGTCCAGCAAAATGGACTACAAAACGAGGGAATCCGATAGTTGCTGTGCTTACTGCTTGTTTTCTTTGTTTAGTAAGTTTTAAAAAGAAGGCTGTGAATGTTTCGCTTACTTGTTTGTCTATATTCACCAAAACGTTTCATTTATTCACATGGTTATGAAAACCTGTCCGCTGAAAATACCTGTGTGAATATTGGTGCTCCTTGTAATAGCCATGTCGACGTTTTTTAGAATGGTGGTCACTGAAATCTCATCTGAGAGGGATTATCAGTTTCCTTTAGGAATCAACAGATTTATCGAGGCGAAACACGCGTTCAGCACTCCAATTACACACATATACCAGTATACAACACTGAAGTTGGGATTTTTCTTCTCTGGTTTAATCTATGACCACAAAACAACAGTAGTTAAGCATCTGTGGGTGATATTCGGTGTGAAGACCAGTTCTTGACACAGCCTGTATAACGACAGCGAGGCTTTGTATTGTGAATTAACAGAGGTTAGGATTCATGAGCGATTGCATTCCAATTGACTGGCTGGATGTATATTAGGCTCCCCATTGTCACTAATGTTATATGTTCATTCCGAGGTGTGGAGTCATGGGTGCGTATTGCTAAATAGTCATTTCGTTATCCAACATTGAAATCATCAATCAAATTCGTGCAGATCAACATCTTGAATGGATGTGTGTTTTAATAACCTTGGAAAGTCTCAGATACATAATTGGAAAATGTTTACGTTGACTGACGTGATTTATGCTTGTAACAAATGCCTTGATTTTTTGCATCTTTACATGAGAGACTTTTGAGCTACATTCTGACTCCGTATTTATTATCGTAAGATTCGCTGTTCATAGGTTACATTTCGCTAACCATATTACTTGTGATAAATATAGATACATAAAGCTTTCCGATATGTATATAGAGAATAGTCGGACGTTTGTTATGGATGTTTATCATATGTGAAATTTCCGACTTTAGTTTGCAATTATTAACCAATTGCGTGTTCCCAATTTAATGATGGCCGTTATTGGTCATGATTTCTTAATGCTCGTTTCAGTTCCCTTAAGCCCCTGCGAACTAACATAACAGAACGAGGAAAGTTGGTGCGTAATCATAGTTTGGTTGGCGCTCGAAAATCACTAAACAGTATTATTTTGGAAAGTTGAATTTTTCTATGATTTCGGCTTAATTTTTGTGGAATACTAAAATCTCCTGACTCTTCGTCTCTCCACTACCATTTCGCGTAACTCACCTAATCACCTACCAACTTGATCGATGGATCTAAATTCTTCATGTCTAGTTCGACTAGTATTCTGTCATCAGGGCGTTTTTCTTTTGTCTAATTCATGCCTAAATGATCCCTTCTATTTTGGTTTTGGTTATTCTTTTAAATTGTGTGCTGTGTGTGTTACACCCAGAAAAAGTCGATAGGTTGTTTTTTTATTTCGTTTCATTTTATTTTGACACGTTGGACAAAATTTGTCAGTTTGTCAATTTTGAACGATAGTCAATATTCCACTTCTGTCCATATCATCATTGCTTTCCTATGAACAATTAAAGCACTAGGCAAAGAAGTTAAATATATTTTTTTCTTATACTTTAAAAATCAACTGTACTCTATAACCTTAATGTGGTAATATAAGATTAGATAAGCTTATTTTGATGTAACAACACACAAAGGTACAGTACTAATAACTGGATGGTGTTTTGAGAGCACAATTCAAAATCATATGAATGTATCTCCGCAACTTGATAAGATAGCCCCACCCCATCCTGTTGTTTTCATTCCCACATATCCAATAGAGGCGTTGCGTAATTTTTTGCTGCGTGTATGTATTTGGTGTTGATTTAGTGGTGGGCGACTAATCTCCCCACCTAATAATATTACTTTTGAATATTTTTAATCTATCACACTCTCCATTGTGTGATTACAAGCAAATGGAATACTCTACAATGACGAGGCTTTTTTCTTGATTACAACACAATAGGGATGGATAGAGTAAAATATTAAAAATTAATGTAGTTACGCGAAGACAGAGATTAATCGCCAAATCCCTATTCATCCAATCGACACCAAACTTGCATTTGAAATGATACATCTATACCTGATACATTATTACTATTATTATTATATCCTTTAATTCCTAGTGGAACATAGGGCTTCAGCCGCGCGTCTCCATTGCGTTCGGTTTCCTGCCAACTTTTTCACGCGGCTCCAAGTCACCCTTGCACGACCCTCACGACCAACTTGCCGTTTCCCTTTCGGGTTCCACTCGAGCGATGGCTTGTCTAATGATGTCACTTGATGGTTTCCTCAGAGTATCGCCAATCCACCTCCATATCTCCCTGCCTATTTGTTTCACAATCGGTTCCTGGTTGGTTCGCTCCCAGAGATCCCTCACTACTGCTGAACTTTTCTGGCCATCTTGAGCGAAGACAGATGTTAATGAAGGTCTGAAGTTTGTTTGAGATGCCCTTTATGACACGCCAAGTCTCTGATCTGTATAGTAGCACTGACTGACCTCACATCGGAGTTGAAAATCCGGATCTTATTTTTGATTTTGAGTGCTGTTGACCTCCACACAGACTTGAGAGTAATGAAAGCTTGTCTTGATTTTCCGATTTTTGCTTTGATATCTTCGTCAGTTATACCTGATACATGGAAAAGTGAAATAAATAACTAGGGGGATATGATAAAATATATTGATATGATTATGAGCAGCGAATTGTGCTCGAAGCGTTATCCAGTTATTCATATTGTACTACTGTGTCTTATATTGAATAAAGTTATCCTTTATCAGTTATTTCCAGCAATAATCCCGTCGATTGAATGAGTACCGCAATAGCGAGTCACCTAGCTTGATGGCCGGCCATATTGTATTCCTTTGAGTTCCTAGTGGAACATGGGGTTTCAAGCTTCCAGCTTCTGAAGTTTTGACGAACAGTTGTTATTTTTTTACGGTTTGCGGTTGCCAGCATCTTGCCCAACCTTCCCACTTTCCCAATCTTACTACCGGCTATGTTAAGGTTTAAGAGTGCGTTCACAGGGGGTCGAACATCAGACCATGTGCATGATTGCCGAACATCCTACATGTCTGAACCACTGAGAAATTTTGAAAAATAGCATAGTAGAATAGCCTAGTCTGCACACTAACACTCAGAACTATACTCATGACACTGGTTTACTAGTGACCAGTCAATACAATTTGTATTTTGTGGTGTCCATGCGATTTCTTTTATGAATATTTTCACGTATTGGTTTTGTAGGGATTTTTTGTTTGATTGCACGGAGGATTTCATTATGAGCTGACATCAGTTACAGAATCACTGGTAAACATGGGAGTACTGGACAACTGTTTCGTCCTAGTTGTGTACTCTTCATCAGTACGCGCCAACGGGGTTCGGACCCAGGACCTTTTGGTCGCAAGGCGAACTCGTAGACCATTGAGCCGCTGGGACCCGATCCAATGGTTCTTGAATTCTAACTTCTGCCAATTCACGACATAGCCCACCATTTCGCAATGTCTTCTTCGATGAGTTACTACCTCATCTTCAACTTGCTGTACTCTGCTAGTCATGGCTTCTCACTAGAACCCCAGGTTAACTGCCTGAATAGGGCAAGTCGCTATTGAGCATCAGATGAATTTTCAAGTATTGATTTCGTAGGGATTGTTTTGTTTGATTGCATGGAGGATTTCATCATGAGCTGACATCAGTTGAAACGTGTTATATGTTGGTAAACTATCACAAAGCATATTATCGTCCGAACCCCCCAGTGAATTTCAGTTATTATTTGTTGAATTTTCAATTTCGTATTGATTGATAATAATAATTGACCGAAATACTCAATCTCTGTTGTTGCCTAGTACCGTCGGTTACAGGGTGCTCCGAGATAATCATGATGTTACTTTGTTGATACTTGTTAGTGATGGAATCCATAGCTGTTGATAATAATAGTGATCACTTTATTACAAGCGCTGATAATTATACAGAATGAAATTTTCAGAGTTTTTATACATATTGCGACAATTTAGTGCCTTTTAAATAAATATGTCCATACGTGTAATATATAGTATCAATAAAGAAACCAATATAAGCAAAATTTTGGTGAAAAAATAATGAAATATGAGTAAATAGTATCTTAGATAATACATGTAACAATAATAATCTTTCCTTATACTTTGCAATTCAAGTTACTGAGTTAAAAAGTCAAGAAGTGCTTTTCTAACATCTGACTCTTTACAACAAAACCCATTCTAAATATATAAGTACAGTAGGATTTTTATATTTTGTTGTATGAGCATAAATTCTTATAAAGTTTCTTCTGGTTTTACCCGAAGCGATACAAGGAGAAATTTGAGAACAAAGAGGAAGTTCACTATCAGACAAGATAAATTTAGCTAACTGTTCGCTAGAATTTAAGTGCCTATTGACAATAATGTCAGTTAGCTGAGTCAAAGGCACACCAGTAACCCTACTTATGGTCTTCAGTATTCTTCGTAATATGACATAGTCTTTTTTGAGAAGTCCAGCGAAGAATAATGGCGAACAACAAAGGAGAATGAGTGGAGCACATGAATTAACAAATTGTAAGAGAAGAGGTTGATTTGTGCCAGTTGACAGCCTCAACTTCTTTATGTAATAAGTTCGATGAAAAATATTCTTAGAAGTCAACAGGATGTGAGACGACCAACAGAGATTCGAAGATTATCTGATACCGAGATGAGAGATATTCGATTTACTCCCTATCACATTGCCGTCAATATTACACCAATCATGAGACTGAATCAGTCCACGCAAGTCTTGTTTGCATCTGAAACTAAAATCAACAATGTAACATTTGAATGGATTCAGTTTAAGACCATTTAGGTGAGACCATTTATTAACTTCAGACAAGAATTTATTCATCTAAGAACAATCCTAAGCAGAAACATTTTGGATAGTAATGGTAAGATCAAAGGCATATTTAACGAAGTTAGCTTTGGAAAAACATGGAAGGTCATGCAAAAAGAAGGCAAAAACGAATGGAGAGAGTACAGCACCTTGAGACACACCAGTTTCCGTTAGCAACAAAGTGGAGTGCTTTCCATTCAAAACAGTATGTTGTTTTCTACCCGAAAAAAAATGAGAAGACATCCATCTTGTGACCCTGGATTCAGTGTTTGCTGACATCAGGTTGCTTAGTAAAATCACCCTAGGAATAGAGTCAAAAGCAGCACTGTATTCTAAAAAGGAGGCTCGAACATACTTTGCACCTTTATCAAGACATGAAAGAATATTGTGCTAGAGTACACCGACAGCATTTAATGTGCTTCTACTGCGATTGTAAGCAAACTGCTTTGGGTCATTAAAAGATTTCAAAGAAGGTTTAAGAACATGCACATAAGTTTCTCCACAGTTTTCAAAAATGGAGACTTGGTGGCAATTGGCCTCAACTTAAGACTTGATCCCGAATATGACTTTGGTACAGGCACCACCGTTATTTCCATCCAGGCAACAGGAACCGTATCCCTATGAAACAAGGTATTAAAGACTTGGGTAAGAGGATAACATAAAGTGTTAGCATACTTTTGAAGTAAAATGCTTGTTGCACCATCTGGTCCTAGACTTTGTGATGGATTTAAGACGTGAAATTACGTCCTATTCATTAAAACCAGGGAAATGAGCGTTTATGTGAACAGAAATATCAGATCCAGTCATATTAGCTTGTTGCATTATAAAAGATCGATTTAAGCATTTACATCAGGGAAAACATCAACTGAAATTTGTTTTCTACTTATAAGTTGATTAAAAGGTTTCCAGATGTTAGAAGTATTCTTACAGGATATAAACAATTTCATTATATATCCCATTTAATCTTTGTATTTCAGACTTTATCAGAGAGTATATTGTTTGAACACCTGCGTTATCATGTTGTTTATACAGTTTCTATTTTTCTTTCCTAAGCTTTTTTATTTGTGGAGAAGAGATTCTATCGAATCTCGTGAACAGTGTTTCAGTAGAACAGAATATGTCCAAACAGAACTTGAAATAGGAGATGATATTAGAGATATTTCATACATTTATTCCCCTTAATGAATTTGAACAATGCAAGAACTACAGTTTTAGCAGAATAAAATGGTACCATCTTTTATTTCGTTGCCTTCTCGTCAGCTGCTTACATGGCAAAGACATTATTAAATATATCTACAACAACAATTTTTACATACTTGCACAGAGTTCAGTTTAAACAAAAATCAATCGATCAATATACGCATACACTAAAAATATATACATATATAAATATGCAATATTAACCACTATTCCGAACAATAATAATCAAACACAATGGAAACTTTTAGCATTTCACATTCGGAGGAAAGAGAGGTGAAATTATCCAGTTACCAGGGCAAAGAAAGGCTGATAACCGCTTCTTTCTGGACGCATAAATCAGGTTTCATGCGCTTGATGGAAATGGCTTCAGCAAACTTAAGGAGAATTGAGCTATTTTGCTTATTGATAATTTTGAACGACTTTTCAACGTCCACCTCATGACGCGTGTCGAGAAGATGCCTGGTGATGGCACTATTTAAAGCATTTGTTCCCTTTAGACGTAAGCTTTTTGGTACATGTTCAGAAAATCGTAGATATGCCCTTCTTTCTGTCCTTCCAATGTAACTGCTCCCGCAGATACATGTAAATTTGTATACACAGTTGGAGGTAACATGAGAAGGATATCTATCGATTTTCGATTGCACCAAAGAGTAAGTTGTTCGATAGACGGGAACGAGCTTAGCTGCAGGATACGCTATGGCTAGTGATGTACTCAGCCTTCTGTTGATCATCGCTGCAATATTTTCACCTTTGTAATCAAGCTGAAGGTAGACTGGCTTTTTTTCCACTGTGAGTTGAGTCCGACACTTCATCAAAGAATAGGTCGCCGTCAGTGTCATGCAACACACATCTAAGTGCTTCAACATTGTTCTTAGATTTTCTTTGGCCCTTCTGTGTAACTTGCCATACACCTTCGGTAAAATACGAATGATGCAGTGGTCAGAATTCAGCAATGGAGCTCTCCTTTCCGCCTCGTAAATGTTACGATCGTTTATAAAAATCAAGTCTAAGGCTTTTTTCCAGAGGAGTATTGAATTCGATCACATTCTCATGATCAAGTGATATGAGAAAGCTGTGATCGCAAGAATTAAATTTATTATGTATCCTGTTATATGTATAGACTAAAGACACTTCTAAATCGTGTTGTGTACAAAATTATCAGAAGAATATTGAAATTAAGATTAGCGAGAGATATACTTATTCAGTTGCTTGTTTAGTGAATGGTGGCTGGTAGTGAGCACTCCGGACTTGTGTTTAGTTCTCTTTGAGACACTTCAACAATTGTCGATATAATGTATGTATACTGTTAATCCATTTGATATTCAACCTTCTGTTACCTGTGGGAAAACCTGGTAGTATTGGACAGCTATTTCGTCCTGTTTTGTGACTGTTCATCGGTACGCACCTACTAGGATGCGAACTCATGACCTTCCGGTTACAAGGCGAGCTCGTGGACCATTAAGCCACTGAGTCCCCGATCCAATAGTCCATGAATTTCAACTTCTGCCGATTCACGATATGGCGTGACCACCAGTTAATGTCATCGGCTGTACTTACACCCGACCTGGTGTACCCCACTGGTCACGACTTCCTGCTAGAACCTACCTAAACAGGGCCGGTCACTAGTGAGCATCGGATTGATACTGAGGTGTTGGTTTTCAGGAATTTGATTGGTTTCCGGATTTCATATATTTAAATAAGAAGCCTTTGATACTAATTAGGAGGCGGTCACTGAAACCAAACTTCAGTCTAAATTATAAAACTCTACACAATTGTGTGCGAATTTTTCAAATTCAGAAAACTCCTGTCTATTAACAAATTTGCTTGCATTCATTCATCAACGACTTCCATTGCCGTTTTATCATGATATTTCAGTGTATAGCTGTATACTACTTATAAGTAAGCACATTTCAATGTCTAATGTTTAAAAAAAAGTTTACCCACGAGCTGTATAAGCTGAAAATAATTTTGTGTTTTAATGTCTAACAGACATATACTTTTTTATTTTCTACAACAACTTCAGGTCTATTCGTCTTATTTCTTTTAATAAACATTATAGCTAATCTTGCTTATTGGTAGATTGAACGCTATTGCACCACTTGTCTCTGTCTTATTTCTACTGGCGTATGCCGCTGTCAATTTAGCTTGTGCTGGTCTAGATGCAGCTTCTGCGCCTAATTTCAGGTAAGTCAGTATGTATATAAAGCTTATTCTTTAAGTAAGCTTTCTTTTTTCTGAAATCTTGGAATTCAGTATATATCTTTTTGTGGTAGTCATCGTTTCTATCATCAATTTGATATCAGTTGAAAATAACACCGAAAATTTATGCTATAGTTGTATATTATTCATTAACAGACACAAGTGCTACATAGACTGACGTCTCTGAAAAGTCAGTTATAGTTTTTCGTGTAATTGAAAAGCAACTGTTGGTATTAGATGGTCGGAGGCAATCGGAAGGAAGCCTTGGACCTAGGTTTCGTGCTAGTTGGCACTCATCAGCAAGGCGTATCTGCAACCTTGAAGGAACTCATGTACCTTCTGAGATTCGAACCCGCGCCACTCAGTGCTGCAGTCAGAGACGTTACCATTGAGCTATTTGTGTTCGCAATTGACCTCCTGTAAGACGAATACAGGGGGCTCGTTTCGCATATGCCAGTTTACGCCGACTCTGGCGTAGACGAGATGTTCGACTATCGACCAAAGGGCGGGTGTACTGCTCATCAGTCCGCTTCGTCCTCCTTTATGGCTGCTAGTGAGACCTGGCCACTGAGAGTGGAAGACATGAAAAGACTAGCTAGCTGTCTTTGATCATAGGTGCCTGCGCTCTATTTCCCGTGTAATGTGGCATAATAAGGTGAGCAACATTGAGGTTAGGCGTCGAGTTCTAGGTAAACAGGGGAAATCAATCGACGAAGTCGTGAAGTTACAAAGACTGAAATGGTTAGGACATGTGTTACGTATGCCAAGCCATCGCCTCCCTCGACGAGCAATGTTAGCGGATATTGGGTCAGGCTGGAAAAAAGCTAGTGGAGGTCAAACAAAAACTTGGCACCAGTCAATGAAATCCACAACAGTTGATCTAAGCCACGTAGGAAGGTGTAGACTTCCTGACTGGTTGGGGTCCTCGAGACGGTAAAAATCTATGGTTGGAAACAATTGGTGACATGGCTCAAAATCGTTCTCAGTGGCCAGCGCAGATGCATCCACTCCTTGTGACTTATGATCTCCGATGAAACTGTTTTGTTCTGTTATTACTCTTCCTTTGTCTCACACCTCTGCTCACTGTTTCTATTATGCTTTTCTTGTACTTTCTTCTCTTGCTTTGTGTGCTACATGGAAGGAGTGTGGCGACTTGAACTTCCGCACATTTGTGCAAAGTTCTATGTCGAAAACAGACAGACTGTATTGGATATTTTTGATATATTGCACACTAGTTAGTAACTAGTGTAATGTATCTAGTCCTATCTTCACTGCAGACTGAATTCTATCAGTCAAGCTTGCAATATGACCACCTGCTAGGTGGCTCGCCATTACGGTGCACTGTGAATTGTTGTTCAAAGAAAGCAATCCGAGGAGAGAATAATAATTCCCATTTGAGTCTAATAAGCGAAATCATGTAGAACGAGACATCGAATGTACCATGAGTAGATAATCAAAGGCCATTGGAATCCAAATGGGAAATGACGATTTGATGATGACGTAAGGGAAATAGTGTGTCCATGTGGTAAAAGCTTATAGGCAATCGTTGCGCTGGCTAACAATAGAGGATGTGCTATTGTAGCCTTGTTCCACTAGCATTATGATAGTGTTGGTAGACTTCATTTCATGTAATGACAACTCTTAGAGCGCCACAATTTTTTCTCTCTATGTTTTTTTTCATTCTCCTAGACCCACGTTTCGCTATTTTAATTGGATTACTTCAATCATTGGAATGATTGGCTGTGTAATTATGTGTCTGTTAATTCAGCCCATATACACTGTCATTGCAATTATTGTTTTGGGCCTGTTAGTTTTTTCTTTGTATCAACGGCACTTAGAATCTTCATGGGGTAATATTGGACAAGCGTTGTTGTTTCATCAGGTAACCGAATGCATAAAACTCTTCATACCTGTCTGTTATTAATTATTATCTATATGACGAATCATTGTTTAGTCTAGTTTGAATTTTAGCTAACACTTTTTTTCAGGTGATTTTTAGACGAAGAGTCTATCACTAACATTGATTGACAAGTCCAAAGTCTTTTGTATATTTCTGTGAAAGCTAACCAATCATCTGCCACTTAGAATATCTGAATTGCTCTAATGTATTCTCAGCTTTCAAGAAGTTTCTCCTTGGATTAGACAGATATTAAGTAATAATCAGTGATAATCGGGAGATTGATAGTGGACTGTTTTTTTATTACCACTTTCTCAAAACCCGTTACTGACATTGTGCTACTGGAATAGTAAAACTGTAGGGTCTAAACAAGACAAACACATTTTTTAACTTCTCATCAAAGCTGTACTGAAGGCAATTAACTAGTAAGTCAAAACAGTACAGTGCTACAGAGATTTCAAACAGCTGACAAAATTAATGATACCTAGAAAACATAAACGGGATAAAAAGAGAACGAAGTGGTTTATCCATAAAAATTAAACTCTAGTGATAAAAAGATTCAATTACTGAATCTCTGGTTGATACTTTTCATGCAAGTAGAATTTTCCATTGATCGTTGTTCCTTGATTTGTTGATGCACTGAGACAAAAATCGGAGGCTCGAACCTTTACAAGTGGTTTTCATAACGGAGTCACTCAGCCAACACTTAATGTTAAGTCTAATTCAATAGAACAATAGAACAACCAGTGGCCTAAACATTTTCGAACACCATTAGTTTTTCTCGGACTATGGAGTCCACCGGACTATAAGTGCAAAATCAGCGTTTTCCAATTCTCCTGGGTGGACCTATTTGTCCACTAATCCAGTGATAAAGCGCCAAATATTCTCCTTTGTTCTTCACTTTTGCGAGAACACCCTATTTGTGAAGGTAGTAAATGAAATTTGACAGACATTTTTTCATTACACTCTTCGAATTACTGCATGAATATCTTCTCTTTTTTTTTTTATCTCTCTCTCTCTCTCAGATCCGTAAGTATTTACTATTGTTGGATTCACGTAAGGACCATGTAAAATATTGGAGGCTTCAACTACTTCTATTGGTGGCAAATCCACGTTCATCAGCTTCTCTTGTCCAATTTATGAATGGTTTAAAAAAGGTGGTCTATATGTGGTCGGTCATGCAATATATGGAAATCCAGATGAGTTTGCAGATCAAACAGATCCATGTTTAAATCAGCGATGGTTAGTTTAAAATATTCTTGTTCACTAATCGAATTAATTAGTTAATTAATTAAATGGAAGGAGGATTAAAGACGTTTGTTTTCAGACACATAGATGAACATGTGATCATGCATCGATGTGCACTAGTTTTGTTTGCAAGTTCCCGCATATAATAATAATACACTATACAATCTTGGGTGTAATTAGAAACTGACTAACTCAATGAATACGTTCTTAATTCCCAAAAGCAGATATGTTCACATGTGAATGATTTTAAGCTACATGATCAGGAGGCTGAAGCTTTTAATTCTCAACATCCTAAGGAATTCTGCTAGATAACGTGTACTTCCATACGTCTGTCTGTCTCTGTCTGTTTGGATTCAACATAGAACTTGGCACCGAAGTGCAGCAGTTCGAGTTGCCACATTCTAAGTAGCACAAAAAGGTACACAAGAAGATGAGGGAAGAGAATCAATAGAGTTTGACAGGTATAAGAGTGAAACAGAATGGGTAATGGTAGAAAAGAATATGAAAGATTACAGAGACTGAATACATCTGCGCTGGCCATTGACAACGATTTTGAGCCATGTCGCCTATTGTCTCCAGCCATTGATTCCTAGAGTCCCGAGGAACCCAACCCGGAAGTCTGCATCTACCTACCTGACTCAGTTTAACTGTCAAGGATTTCATGGATTGATGAGGCCGTGTTTTTGTTTGGCCACCACTTACCCTTTTCCAACCTGCATCTATATCAGCTAGTAATGCCCGTCGGGGGAGGCGATGGTTAAGCATGCGCAGCACGTGACCTAACCATCTCAATCTGTGTAACTTTATAGCCTCGTCGATTGATTTTCCCTGTTTGCCCAATACTCTACGCCTAACGTCAACATTATCTACCTTATTATACCACCTAAGGTGAGAAAGAGATCGTAGACATCTATAATCATACTTGGGTCAGACCAATGATCAAAAAAATCGTGGATTCGTATTATGTTCTTGTGTATCCACTCTTAACTTCTTGATCCGTCTATAACTTAAGTAACACTGCTGTTTTACGTGGGTTGTGGTCTGATATCGTTGATTCGCAGCTTCAAATAAATCAATTTCTTTTCTGTCTGTACATTCAACCTCAGTACCATTCAACTTTGTTATTTAGATATAAGAGCAACTTTCTGGTGGCACTAATAGTCAAAAGCATGTTATCTATTCTTACCCTTTGCTGCAGCTAGTTCTAACAACCGTAGATGTAGAACAAAAATGAAATGAAACATTCCAAAGATGTAGAACAGAAAAAGAATTAAATTAGGAAAATATTTCTGGTTTCTATCTTATGAAACCAGTAAAAGATGGTCAAGGGAACCTAATTGCCAAAGAGGAGAAACAAAGACAGTGATGGAATGGTCACTTAAAAGGGCACCTTAACGTTCGTCCCCAGCAACTCATCTCAAAGTTTTACTGATAGCGGGCACATAACTGCCACTTAACACCAACCCTCCAAAAAAGCAGAAATCTTGATGTGTTGGTTTGCAGTATTTGATTTGATTGGTTGTAGAATTTTATTATGAGGTGATATCGGTTGGAGAACTGCAGAAAAACATCTCTCACGTCTTAGTTTGGGACTAGCGACTAGCCCTATTCAGGTAGGTAGTTACGTGGGTTCTAGTGAGAAGTCGCGGCCAGTAGGGTTCAGACATTTTGTCGGGTTTCTATGCTTTATTGATCTACGAGCTCGTCTTGTAACCGGAGGGTCCTTGGTTCAAACCCCCGTGAGTGCGTACTGATGGTGGCTCCCAAACTAGGATAAAACAACTGTCTAGTATTCCCAGTTGGTTTTTCAATGGTTCTCTAACCGATTTCAGTTCATGATGAAATCCTGTAACCAAGAGATCCTGAATATCGTCAAGCTACTGAAGTTCAGGAATGCAGCGGGACCAGACGGAAGCAGTGAGAATAGACCCAGAGACCGCAGTGGATATGCTGACGTCACTATTGCAAAACGTTTGGAAGAAAGGAAAAGTACCTAAGGATTTGAAGAAAGGCTACCTTGTCGAACCACCACAGAAGGGAGACGTAGGCCTCTGCAAAAACTGTCACGGAATCATGCTTTTTTCCTCTCCAAGTAAAATACTAAATGACATCATCTTGTAGAGAATAAAAGATGCACTGGAGGTAGAACTCCGGCAACCTGAACAACCTGGATTCAGGAAAGGAAATCATTTGCTGGTCAAATTGCAGCTGTGCGTATCTTCGTTGAACAGAGCATAGAATGCCAGTTGAATCTCCAGCTCAACTTCATCCACTTTGAGAAGACTTTCAACAGCGTTGACGGAGAAGTAATTTGGAAACTACTCCAACACTACAGAGTGTAGTGCCCTAAATCTGTATCAACCTCGTTCCACAGCTGTGTGATGATGATGTCACATTCTAAATGATTCAGAACGGAAAACTCAGTGATGCCTTTGTAGTGATTACAGGGATAAGAAAAGGAAGCTTTATATCAACACCATAATCTCTCAATTGTGGTGGAATAGATCATATTGCAGACCACTGGGGGTTAGAAGACAGGAATACATTGGACCGATGTGAAGAGTCTAGAAGATGTTAACTTTGCCGACGATTTATGTTTAATGTCACACAAACTCGAAGACTTACAGGCGGAAACCAGCAAGTTGGCGGACGAAGCTGGCAGCAAAGACAAGACTTCAAGTGAACAAAGAGATGATGGGGTAGGCGAAGCAAACCTTCATCACACTGAAGTCATTTTGAAAGTCTTCTGAACTCCTCAGTGTAAAGAACAAGATGATACTTTCATTATATATGACGACAATGCAGGCATCGAATTGATAACTAAAGAGTTCAACAGCTGCCATCATGCCATCAAGTTCACGTCGGAATCAGAGACTAACTCGGAATTCCATTTTTGGATGTTTTCCTAAAGAGGAGATCTGATGGTTCTCTTCAAAGATGGATCTACAGGAAACCAACATGGAATGGTTCCCATAGCTGGGTCCCTTTGAGAAGAAAGAGAAATCTGATCCATTCCTTATCCTCAAGAATAAGGAGGATATGTTCAAGTAATACAATCGATGGGGAACTGGGGCGACTCAGACAAGGCCTCATAGAGAATGGATATCCTCCTAGATTTATCGAGAAAAAACATGAAGTTAAGGGAAAAGCCTGAAAGAATCCAGACGGTGCCGCTCTTTATGAGTATTAAATTTAAAGGTGATACCGCAGCTGAGATCCTGAAGAATCGCTTATGCAAATCACTGAGGAAAGTCTTCTCTATGGCTGAGCTACGTATCAATTTCTACAGCCAACAAATGGTCAACGGATGTGTGAAGGATAAACTGCCACTTTGGGCCACCTCAATGTGTGTTTCACCTGCTCGTGTGGAGGTAGTTATATTGGCGGCACAAAGCCCACGCTTTCCAAACGCATCTCTGAACATTATCCGGCATGGTAAGCAAAGGGACAATGTAAGACAATTACTAGTTCAATTCTCGAGCATTTGGTGAACTCAGGCCACGTAGCTCCATCAGAGTCGTCTTTCAAGATCATATACAAAGTGAAGCCAGATGGTACAAAGGGCGTCAGTTTTCGGTTTTTGTGTATGGTGGAGGCGTTGGCAATTCATCAATACAACCCTGAACTCTGTACACAGAAAAAGTTTGTCCAGTCTCTTATTCTACCTTGGTCTTAACCTCTTCACTAATCGTTCCGTGTAGAAAAATTTTTTTTGATTTTTTCTTTCCTTTTTAATTTTACTTTGTAGTTTGCTTTTGCTTTAATAATTAATTCACTATTATCACTCTCATATGCTTATTTTATGTATTTTCACACCCTCTTCACACTTGTTAAATTGACACTCAGATACCTTTATTTTCACTCAAGAGCAATTGTCTACCTCTGTGTGCTATTTGGAACGTGGCAACTCGAACTGCTGCACTTCGGTGCCAAGTTCTATGTTGAATCCAGACAAACTCAAGAGCAACTTTAACCTTATAAAAAATTATGCAATGCTTAAACGCAACTGATTTATAAGTTTATCAACAGAGTAAGTAGTCGGTTTCCAAATAGTCTCATTATATCACTTGGTGGAATAGTTGTGAATAACGGTGCATGTTATTATCTGTCCTAATCCTGTTCAAAGTTCTTGTGTAGAGAGATGTTGCTTTTTTTTAGTAACTGTTGTTTCTGCCAATTGTATGCAAACTTTTAGAAGCTGATTTTTCTAGCCAAAAATTTCTTATCTTCAGTGAGATGTAATAAAGTCAGTTTCTACGTGGATTTAATTCAATTATTTTATGGTGTATTTTGAAAAAGAAAAAAAAAGAATAACTTATCAGTGTGTGCTTACTTTCTATGCTCAGGTATTGGACACAGTATGTGAAGTATTTGAAAACTAAAGCATTTGTCGAGATAACCATTGATAGAAATATACGCAGAGCTATATCTCATCTGATTCGAATATCCGGTCTGGGTGCAATGCGTCCAAATACAGTGTGCTTAGGATTTTATGATGATAAACCGTCAATCGTGAGTTCTTCTTGTCAGTCTCCTACTTCATATTTCTATATTTGTATGATGAATTTATAAGACAATTTTTCACTTTTGGTTTGTTATGCTTACTAAATCATAATATTAATTATAATAATAATAATCCTCTTCAAACATTTTGTGTGTGTGTGTGCGTGTGTGTTTATTTATTTATTTTTTTGTTTATCCACTTCATAGGATGTTCTGGCGCAAATTTGGAAAGAACGTAAAACAAAAGCGTACAATTCATGGCCAAATCATATTCACTCGTCTGATTCTACTGACTTGATTGTTGAAAGTAGTAATTCTCAAGCCAATCATGGTAATTTTATTGAAGTTGGATTATCTAATTTTTTTTAAATAAAATTTTTACTATCCATTGTGTCTTGTTTGTAGCGTTACCTAGGCGAAGGTGCGGAACTGTTATAACAATCCAATGTGGAATCATGACAAGTTATTCGTCTACTCAATGAACATTTTTGAAACACTGTGCATCTATATAGTGACATCATTTTTAAGTTATTTTGAGGGAGAAGTGCGTCGGTGGCACAGTGGTTAGGACTCTCGCCGACCATGCACATGGTCCGAGGTTCGATCCCCTGCCGACGCACACCTGATATCTATGGTCGGCCTGCAAAATTTGGGCTTCTGATGTCTATGCTGAAAATTTCATACTTGTACCAAAAATACAGTGTGGAATCAAGCTGTAATCAAAAAAATAAAAAATAAAATAAATAAGTAACTAATATCAATCATAATCTCCTAATTGTGGTGGACTGGAACATGAGGATGAGAAGACAAGAATACGTAATATGGTGGAAGAGAATTCATGCGTCATTTAGTTCAGGTCCCAGTGGCTGGAATGGTCCACGAACTTGCCTTGTAACTGGAAGATTCTGGGTTCGAAACCCAGTGGATGCGTATTGCTGATGAGTCTTAAACTAGAATGAAACAGCAGCTGTCCAGTACTCCCTGGTTTTCACTGGTTCTCTAACTGATATTAATACGTGGTCTAACTCGAAAAGCAGACCAACTCATGCGAAGTAGTTATGTCGATTAGGAGAGAAGTACATTCCATATGCAGTTCCTAAGCCGTAAATAAGCCACAAGTTTGTGTCATATTTTTTATGAAATTATTTGAAACTTACTTGCATGGAGACGAATAAATGGTGTGCAACTACGAACTTGGTAAAGGAATGCTTATTAGGAAATTGGTATCTCTATATAGCCAAATTATGTGTACCTTATTTTCAAGGCACCATTTGTACATATTTTCGTGTTATGGTTACTTCTGGACTTTGTGTTGTGTTTCTTTGTGTTCCTTTCACGTCTTCCATGTATGTTCACAGCACTGTATCATTTGCCTTCTCTGAAATGAAATGTATCTTCTTGCTATTTGCTGTTTTTATGACGATGAACGTCTTTTTATATACTACTGATAAATCTTATCAGTAACACTCACCACTAGAAAACTACCTACGCTGAAAGTGTCATTGAGCGGTTTCAACGTCAGATTTCAGAATGTCATCCTGCATGGTAAAGCAAACATTACACTCAGTTGGTTTGTAGCTCTATTTCAAGCACACCTTGTTATGGGTGAATATCATAAAATTTAGTGTTAATAGGGCATTTAGAGTTAACTACGGTATTTTCACCAAATGAATTTTACTTCTATTAAGTTCATCTTTTACAGATGTGAGAAACCATCGAAATCCCCCAACACCCACCTACCCCCGGAAGAAGGCGAAGCTGTGTGTTTAGAAGAAATTAGTTTAGCCTGTTTCTTCACTTGATCATCTTTACATGAATACAAAAACTAACAATTTCCATCTCTCTTCCCCCTTTTTGTCATTTCTGTTATTTTAATTATCCTGTCGATTGGCTTATTTCACCCTTGATTGTTCTTATCTAAAAGTTTTTAGTAATTTTCTCATTCATTTATTCCTCTTTTGCATCAAATAAGCACTTGCTTTAATTTTCACAAATATTTCTGTCTTTTGCTTGCATCACTAATTTTCTTGACTGATAACCATACATTTGCCATTTGTATTCCTTGTTGTCATCTAAGTATCTTAACAGATATTTTTCTCTTTGGTAAAAATCAAAGATCTTCGAACGCGGGCTTTCTCGTTATCACACTAGTGAACATTTTTGTATTACATGTTACGCTTAAAAATTGAATTACATTATTGCGGGCAACTACTTACGAAACACTGGACAAAAGATCATTTACTAAGTGCTCCACACACATTTCGAGTGGTTTACGCCAATAATATTTTATTTTTGTTTATAGGATATAAAGCTAATGATCTCCCGTTGGTGGGTGTGACTCCTTGTTTGTCTCTAAGGTGATTGGTTAGCACACACAGGGAAAATAAAAGTGTATTTTAGACAGCGTTAATAAGTAATTAATGGTCGACGAGCTAGCCTTGTAACCGGCAGGTCCTAGCCTTCAACCCAGGCAGGTACGTACTATTGAAGAGTCACAAACCAGGACGAAACAGGCGTCCAGTACTCTCAGGTTTTCCAATGGCCCTATAACCGATGTTAGGTCATGATGAAACCATGTAACCAATCAAATCAAATCCATGCAAACCAACACTTGAGTACATTATTTCTTATGTATATGTCATACGTCATGAAAGAACTCTTTATCGGGAAACAGAAACAGCACTGACAACATTTATAGCAGTATTTGTTTGGTATATGTACGAATTTATTCTGAACTCCTGGATATAATATTCATTGATTATGTTTACAATTTATCAACGAGTTAATCGAAACATAATGTTTTATTTCTTTCTGAATCAAATAAATGTTGTTTTTTTTTTAAAATAATATTAAAAATTTCCAAATTCATTAGGTTCTTTAATTAGCAGCAATGAACTATTGGCTAATTTTGGTTCACTTCAGCCCCACGATTCAACTTCTTCATTTGTCAGTCAAAATGTTACAGAAGATCAACCACGATCAGCAGATAGTCGTATACATCGTCTTACATCACAGGAATATGTCAGCATTATCCGGGAGATTCTTAACATGGAGGTAAGCAGCTATATTTGTTGTTTGATGGGTTTACTAATACTAGGTGGGGAGGGGGATAGTCTAGGTCTGCCTATTTCTTGTTTCCGAACCTTTTCTACCCCCCCATTTTGAATCTCAGTTCAACTCTGAAAAGTCAGAGAAATTTTATGACTAAATTATTCAATTGACAAATCATCTGCTGTCCGACTGATTGATATGAGCTAATTCTACATTGATTAATATCTAGCGAACATTTGATGTGACACCAGGTGTTTCGTTTTAGATTTTTTTAGAAAACAGAAAGATTTAGCGAAGAAATATTTACTTTTCAATTAGTTCCTCATCCCTGGCTCTACTCTAATATGTATAGCATTTTTATTACAGTACACAACAATTTATCAATCAATTGGCGATATGTTTGTGCGTCGGTGGCACAGTGGTTAGGACTCTCGCCGACCATGCACATGGTCCGGGGTTCGAGCCCACGCCGACGCGCACTTGATATCTATGGTTGGCCTGCGAATTTCGGGCCACCGATATCCACGCTGAAAATTCCATACTTGTACCAAAAATACAGTGTGAAATCAAGCTGTAATCAAAAAAATAATAAAATAAAAAAATAAATAAAATAAAATACTTAGCCAGTGTCAAAATGTCAATGGGGTGATAATTAACGAAGAAAATTAATATATATAATTAAAAGGTGGAAATGGTTACAACAAGTGGATTGCATAATGCATAATTTTGGAAAAATGAAGAGCAATTAAGCAGGAAGCGTGTGCACAGGTTGATTACGTAACAGATTGTTAAAGAGAATGAAACGATTTGGACAATCTATTATGAAATCAACCTGTGCACACACTTACTCCTTAATTACTTTTCAATTTTCCAAAATTATGCATTACGCAATCCACGTGTTGTAATCATTTCTACCTTTTAATTGTGTGTACTAATTTTCTTCGTTAATTATCACCCCATTGACATTTTGACACTGACTAATTATTGTTAACAAACATATTTATATATATATATAACAAACATAATATATATATATATATATATAATTAAAAGGTGGAAATGGTTACAACACGTGGATTGCATAATGCATAATTTTGGAAAAATGAAGAGCAATTAAGGAATAAGCGTGTGCACAGGTTGATTACGTAACAGATTGTTAAAGAAAATAAAACAATTTGGACAATGATAATTTGTAACTAAAGTTGAAGTGGTCATAAGAATAAAATAATTTTTACAAGGATAACACGTAATTAAAGATGAAGTAGTCAGAAAAATAAAATAATTTGGACAATTATAGTTTTTTAAAAAAAGAAAAATTATTATAGGGGGAGGGTGATGGAGTAGTCCGGTTTATACAGTCATGTAACGATGGCCAAGGTAAGGAAAGTGGCTGTACAAATATATATATATATATATAAGGTTGACTTCAACAATGCCTTTAAGCCGATATATAAAACAAAGTTGGGCCACATACTTAAATTCATTGAAGCCTTAGCCATAAGAAGACTTAAACCTGCCTCATGTGTCCAAAAGTTGGTAATTTAATTTAGAACCAAGGACCAATTTACTTCTTAATATTTTCAACCCCTTTTTCGCCTTGTTTTTTTCTTTTTCTCCTTCTTACCCACACCTTTTGCGTCTCCCTACCCATTATTTGTGATCTTGACATGTACACAGTCTGACCTGTATTTTAATTATTCATGCCTTCTATACAAACTGTGTATGACAAGTACGTGTGTGATCAGAATGTCCGAAATGTATTGTGCCAATACAATACACGTTCCAGATAAACTACGTGTCTTATTGAATGGAGGATTTCATCAGGAGCTGACATCAGTTAGAGAACCACTGAAGACTTGGGGTAATGGACAGCTGTTTCGTCCTAGTTTGGGACTTCTCAGCAGTATGCAACCACTGGGGTCTCACTCAGGACATTCCGGACAAGGCGAGCTCGTAGACCATTGAGCCACTGGGACCCGATCCAATGGTTCTTGAATTCTAACTTCTGCCAATTCACGACATAGCGCCACCATTTCTCAATGTCTTCTTCGATGAGTTACTACCTCATCTTCAACCTGCTGTACCCTACTGGTCACGGCTTCCCACTGGAACCCCAGGTTGACTACCTGAATAAGGCCAGTCTTCTTATTATGTTGTCGAAATTCATAACGAGAACTAATTGCTTTAAATATATATTAGAGTAGAGCCAGAGATGAGGATCTAATTGAAGAGCAAATATTTCTTCACTCAATCTTTCTGTTTTCTAAATGTCTAAATGGGGATTTTTTTTCTATATTAGATTTTTTTGCATTATTGAAATATATCTAATCATACGCTTAAAAAATATGTAAGTAGTATGATGTTATCAATAGAAAATTAGTATTAGTATTTCGTGAAACGTGGAACTGAGTAATTCTTTGCAATCGCCTTCAATGGTCCAGTCAGCGTTTTCAGAATCCGCTTCTTTATGATCACTATTACCACTGCTGTCAACGACAATATTATGTGACTAACTGTCTGATTTTTAACACAGCAGTTTGCACAGAAATGCAGCAGTTCAATTAGCCACACTCCATGTAGCATCATAAATGAGGGACAAAGAATAGTAACGTGGAATAAACATGACGGTTTATTTGGATGCACAATATGACAAAGAGTGAGTGCATCTGAGCCAATGAGAATGATTTTGAGCCAAATCACCAGTAGTAGTCCTCAGCCTTTAGTTTCTTTTGCTAAAGCATCCTGAATACCCCGGTCAGACTATTATTATTATATTATTATTATTATTATGGAGTTACCAAATTCTTTTAGCAGTTCATTAATGAAAAGTTGTGTTAAAAATAGTAGAGTTGTATATCCTCATAATTTGATGCACAACTTTGAATTACAAAATTATACCTCACAACAACTAACGAGTATTATAGAAGGCTACTGATGTAGCAATTTTCGTTGGCATTAGATAGTTTGAGGCAGTTGACAGGAAACCTTGGACCTAAGTTTCGTTCTAGTTGACACTCATCAGCAAGGCGAAACTTAGGTCCTAGGTTTCCTGTCGATCGCCTCCAACCATCTAATATCAACAATTCCAGGTGCACCGCGACAGTGAGCCACCTAGAATACTGACCACATTGCAAACTTGGCTGATAGAATTTAGTCTGCCTCAAACAAAGCACTAGACTAGTATGCAATCAAAGTATATAAAACTTTGTTTGTCACTAAGAACATTTGTTAAACTATAAAGTGTTTCTTGTAGTTTCTTCTTCTGCATGTGATACAAGTGTATTAGTGTTTGAATTGTGTTATGCGTTGTTATTTGAACATCATAAAATGTTGTGTGTGTGTTTTTTAATTTCTAGTCCTCATGTTACTAGTATTTTTTTTTAATCTGTCGTTTGGATACAGACTTGTTTTTATCATGAATTCTCTCCAGTATAATCCTTTTCTATTAAATTCAATTTCAGACTAATGTTGTACTTGCTAGAAACTTTGATAAAGTGATTTTTGACGGAGGTATGTCTGGTTGGGATGTAGCACGTCGTTATTTCCATAATTTATGCCATCCAAATAATCGGTTATATCGATTCGATTCTGGTTACAATGGAGATAATAATGGGGATACAATGATGACTGTTTCCAGTTCTATGCCACAGATTAATCCGCATAAAATAAATAGTTCAAAGACTATATATTTTGATATATGGCCAGTGAATCTGTTAGAGTATAACTTGGAACAAACCACCAATTCAATGCTAACAGAAGAAATGGTATATGGACAAACACTTGATCGTACTGGTCTTTTCCTTCTACAGCTTGCTTGTCTAGTAGCCAGATCACCATACTGGCGTAAACGTCGTCATCCACCGAAATTACGTGCATTCTTTCCGTATTTCTCTTCAATGGGTCGAGTTAATGCTATCAATGGAGATGTGATTACATCGTCTGATACAGCTCATTCTCGATTGTCTACTTTGCTGAAGAATTTACGAATTCCTGTAAGGCCTTTTTTATTGTTATATAATTCTCCTCTTCGTTTATACTTTGTGTTTCTACTTAAATTGCCTGTCTGTCTGTTTTCGACATAGAACTTTGCAGAAATGTGCGGAAGTTCAAGTCGCCACACTCCTTCCATGTAGCATACAAAGCAAGAGAAGAAAGTGAAAGAAAAGCACAATAGAGACAGTAAGCAGAGGTGTGAGACAAAGGAAGAGCAATAACAGAGAACAAAACAGTTTCATTGGAAATGATAAGTAATAAGGAGTGGATGCATCTGCGCCACTGAGAACGATTTGGAGCCGTGTCACCAATTGTTTCCAACCGTTAGCTTTTACCATCCTGAGGACCCCAACCAGGAAGTCTACACCTTCCTATGTGGCTTAGACTAACTGTTGTAGATTTCATTGACTGGTGCCATATTTTGGTTTGACCACCGCTACCTTTTTTCCAGTCTGACCCTATGTCAGCTAACATTGCTCGTCGAGGAAGGCGATGACAAGGCATACGTAACACATGTCCTAACCATCTCAGTCTTTGTAACTTCACAACTTCGTCGATTGATTTCCCCTGTTTACCTAGAACTCTACGCCTAACCTCAATATTGCTCACCCTTAATTGCCTATTCATTTGCTATAATCTGATTGAAGAAATTTAAGGAGTTTTACTATAGACGTGTATAATTATAACTTCTGTGTTAACAAACAGCTATTCAAAACCATTTAAACTGCTCACAACTTGTTCCCTGCCCTACATCCAGTTTAGTGAACGAATAAACTGCAAGTATCAGCATTTTTGTTCAAGCAACCAATCTTTTTCAAACTAGAATTCACAGATGTTTTTTGTTTGTTTGTGAGATGCTAATGCTATTCATGAAGGAAGTTCTGTCCATAAGCTTCTTTTTGTAGATTAGCCTCTGTTTCTGCCTGTGGAATCACTTCATTGTGTGACAAGATATGTGTTTACTGTCATCTTCCTCATGTATTGAATAAACAAAGAACAAACATAATTGCAGGATAATACAAGCTCGTTTTATTCGATGGATTCTCTGCAACTGCGTACATTCTAAATAAATCAATTATATGTTACAAAATTTTCTGAACATACTTTTTACAATGGTTTCAAGTCATACGTAGACAGTATAAGCAACATAATTTCAAAGATGATGTGAGCAGACAATTATTTAGTGACAGTGGGAAACGAAAAAGCAGGGTTATCCCGAACCGACGTGAAGAACCTAGAAGACCTGGATTTCGCGCGTAGCTGATTTATGTCTGGTGTCACACAAAATCGAAGACCTACAAGCGAAAACCGACAAACTGGTCGAAGAAGCAGCCGCGAAGACACGTCTCCAGGTGAACATAGACAAGACGGAGGTTATGAAAATAACCAGCCAACAAAAACAGCAGAAACATCCAGTGCCAATCACCATCAACGGGAGGGATTTGAAAGAGGTTACTTCATTCACTTACTTATCTAGGGAGCATTGTCTCAACTACAGGCAGTCGGAACGGACGAGGATGTCAAATCGAGCGAGAATCGGGAAGGCGAGAAACACACTTATCAACCTGAAACCAATCTGGAAATCTTCGTCACTCACTCAGCATCAACAACAAAATTCGGTTAGATTTTCAATACAAACGTAAAGTCAGTCAGTTCTTCTATACGGATCAGAAACTTGGCGGGCGGGCGGGTCACAAAGAATATTTCCAACAGGCTATTACAAACCTTTACCAACAACTGTCTTCGCTCTATACTGAAGGTCAGATGGCTGGGTCGGAAAGAATCACCAACAAGAAACTATAGGAAGAAACAAAACAAGAAACACATGGCCAACAAATATGCACGAGAAAGTGGAGATGGATCGGGCACTCGCTGAGGAGGCCGCTGGGTGACATCGCGCGCGCCAGGCCATTCCTCGAGTGGAACCCGAAAGAGAAGAGGCGAGTGGGACGTCAGTGCAAGGGTGACTTTGAGGAGATCGTGTGAAGAGGAGTTGAAAGAGTATGGACTAATGTGGGTACAGGTGAAAATTACAGCAGAAGGGAGACAGAAGCAAGTAGAGACGTGCAGCTGAAGCCCTATGTTCCACTAGGAACTCAAGGGAACAATAATAATAATGGTAATTTAAATGCTAATTAGACAAAGAGTGGAATTCAAATTTATCTTGGATGGAACAATGAACAACTAGAGACAAGATAGAACAACGGAGTAAATTTGTACATATTATGGTGGAGTGTTCAGGTGGGTGGTGGTGGGGGGGGTGAATAGTTAAGTGAAATTATAAAATAGACAAAATAATTTAATTTAGTAGATTCAGAACCTTAACAGTGAGTTCAACTCAGCGAGTGAAAATCAAAATCAAGATTGAGTGGATTTTTCAACTGTCCCATTACTTCACCTGCACATGAGGTGGCAGCAAGTACATAGGAAGGACTGAGAGAAGAGTGTCTACTAGATTCTCCAAGCATATCCCTAAAAGTCTCTGTATAAAAGGCAGCAAATCAGCCTCGAGTACAATTGACACGGGATATACAGTGGAAATTAGTCAGGCTTTCAAAATAATCAATACGCAAAGAAAAGCATGGTTACATCAGTTCGCAGAAGCCATTGCCATCAAAAGCTTCAAGCCAACCTATGCATATAGAGAAGGAGTGTGACTAATCTCTCACTATCCCGGTAACCATGATTGTTTTGTTCCTGGGCTTTTGTGTTGTTTGTTTGTTTTTCTGTTGCATAACATTCCACTCAATCTTGATTTGCACTCGTTGAGTTGAACTCACTGTTAAGGTTCCACGTCTACATACATGCTAAACTATGTGTACAAAAAACAACAGACTTAAATAAATAAATTTTTGCTTTATTCCAAAAACAGTACTAATGATACAGCAAGGAATTTTCAGCATTCAGTACAATATTGCATCTAATTTACTCAAAAACGACAAAAAAAATTAAAAATACACATTACATAACAGTAATAAAATGATTGTTATAGCAGCTACATGGCAAAATACTGTATGCCATACAGAGAAAAATATGCATCAAGCATAAAATTGTAGTAGTAATAGTAATACCAACTAAAATAAAATTGCAGAGTAATAATTAAACGATAGAAAGTGTGACACTATAAAATACAGAAAGATGAACGATGAAAGGGTCGATTTACTGTGCTAATTACATAGTAACTTGTAAGTTTCACGTCTAACAGAGTCTTCATCACTTAAAGTACGGGCTAAATAGGGTATTGTAGAATTTCTATACTTAGTGGTACGAGCATATAACTTTTTATATTAACTTCTCGTCCTACCTGATGAGATACAAGGGGACAGGTGTGAATAAAGGGGTGCAGAGGGTCTGACAGTATAGCCTTTGCACATTTCGTACAGGAATTTATATGCCTCTCGACTATAGTATTAGCGAGCTCATGCAGTGGCAGAACACAAGCTCTACTCACAGCATTTAATACTCTTCGTAATATGATATAATCTTTTTTGAGAAGCCCAGGAAAGATTAATGGAGAGCAATAGAGTACAATAGGTAAAATACAGGAGTTTAAAAATCGCAAAACTAAAGGTTGGTTGATACCTGATTGTCTTAACTTTTTAGTGTAGAAGGTAAGACGAAACATTTTCTTAGAGATAGATAAGATATGGGATGACCATGAAACGTCAGACGAAAGAACTAATCCAAGGTATTTAATGCTTGATTTCAACCTTCATCTGCAATGGACTACTTTATCTATTTAAATATGATTGGTCATTAGTATGCACTTTTGTTTTATATAGCTGAATAACTGTCATAACATTTATTTTTTTTATTGTAAACTATGCTAGTTGTAAAGCGTTTGTAGAGCAACTACTAAGTGATATCATCTCGCTAGATTTGTCTTCTAAATGCCTTGTTTAAATTATTCTATCTATTTTATAATTTTACTGCACTATTCACACACCCCACCACCACCCACCTGAACACTCCACCATAATATGTACAAATTTACTCCGTTGTTCTATCTTGTCTCTAGTTGTTCATTGTTCCATCCAAGATAAATTTGAATTCCACTCTTTGTCTAATTAGTATATATAAATAGTAATAATTCTATGAGTTAAATAAAAACAATGGATTATTGACAAACAAAAGTAGAAATGAAGTCATGCTTATGAGGTCATGTATTTTACTAAATATGTGCAGTAAGTCATTTAAAAACAAGAAAGAAAGTAATTGTGCAAAATATCTGTGTGTTTTGCTTTTTTAAATACGGGCCAAACGTGTGAGGTGAATAAAATTCAGATGATGCAAAATTTAGAGAAACAGTTGAATAGAATATCTGTGTACTAACTTACCAATATTGAATTGAACAGTTGGAAGTTGAGCTGTATTTATACATTTTATCTAACAGTTGTACGACAATGCTGCATGCCAAGTAATCCACAGCGGTAAACTTATGGAATCCTTCGAAGTGAGGATGGAAGTAAGGCAAGGCTGTCTACTATCGCCAATGATTTTCCTGATTGCAGTAGATTGGATAATGTGACAATGAGGAAACGGGCATAAAATGGACCCTAACGAAAAACTTGGAGGATCTGTACTTCGCCGATGAGATATGTCTCTGATTTCCCACAAACTGGAAGATATTCAAGTGAAAAGCAACAAGCTGGCAATCGAAGAATCATCCAGAGAAGATAGGACTTCAGGTGAACATAGATAAAACAGAGGTGATGAAGATTCCTGGCCAACACCAACAGCAACAACAACAGACAACAGTCAGGCAGCATAAATGGGAGGAACCTGGAAGAAACAACTTCCTTCACGTAGCTGCCTGAGAAGCATCGTTTCAACTACAGGTGGACGGAACTGACGAAGATATCAAAGCAAGGGTCATCGGGAAATCAAGACAAGCTTTCATTACTGTCAAGTCTGTGTGGAGGTCAACAGCACTGCTCAGCATGAAAACTAAGATCCGGATTTTCAACTCCGATGTGAAGTCAGTCATTGCTACTATACGGATCAGAGACTTGGCCAGTGCGTCATAAAGAGCGTCTCAAACAAACTACATACCTTCGTCAACAGCTGTCTTCGCTCAATACTCAATATCGGATGGCTGGCCAGAAATGATCAGTAATAGGGATCTCTAGCAGTGAGGGAACCAACCAGGAACCGATTGTGAAACAAATAGGCAGGGAGATATGGAGGTGGTGGCGATACTCTGAGGAAACCATCAAGTGACATCACTAGACAAGCCATCGCTCGAGTAGAACCAGGCCGAAAGGGAAGCGGCGAGTTGGTTGTGAGTGCCAGGGTGGGGTGACTTGGAGGAGGTCATGTGAAGAGGAGATGAAAGCGTGTGGGCAGACCTGGAGCGAGGTGAAAACGTTGGCAGGAAACCGAAGGCAATGGAGGTACGCAGCTGAAGCCCTATGTTCCTCTAGGAATTAAAGGAAATAATAATAATAATATACAAAATGTATAGGCTGGTAATGTTAACATTTATGAGAATGTATACCTCTGTTATACAGCTTTATGACAATGCCACGTGTCAAGTGATCCACAACGGAAAACTCAGCTTAGCCTTTAAAGTGAATACAGAATGGAGTAAGACAGGACTTCCTGTTATCACACCGGTGGTGGTATTCCTAATTGTTGTGGGTTGGATTATGCGTCAGACTGTGCACTGGGAGTGAGTAGACAGGAATACGTTGGACCGATAAGAAAACACTAGAGGAGCTGAGTTTCGCAGATGATTTATTTCTACTGTCACACAAACTCGAAGACCAACAATTTGTTAGAAGACGTTGTCAGCAAAGTCAGAAATTCAGGTGAATATAGAGAAGATAGAGTTAATAAAGATAACCAGCCAACAACAACCAGCACTTATCACTATCAACGAAAGGAATCTGAAAGAGGTCATTCCCTTCACTTATCTAGGCGACATTGTTTCAGTTACAGGTGTGACAGTACAGACTAGGATGTCAAATGCATAATCAGGAAGGCAAGATTCAGATTTTCAAAACAAATATGAAATCAGTCAATTCTATATGGGTCGGTGTCTTGGTGCTAGCGTCACGAAAGCATTTCTAACAGACCACTGCAGACTTTTATCAACAACTGCCGTCGCTAGCTCCATAGTGAAGATCAGTTGGTCAGAAAGAATGATCAGCAAAGGTTTCTGGGAACCAACCAATCAAGGAATTTTTGCCCTTTCCAAGAAAATGGAGATAGATCGGACACACGTTAAGGAGACTGTTAGATGACATAGCACACCAGGCCTTCGGATAGAACCCGGAAGGAAAACGATGAGTTGGGTGTCCAAGGTTGGTATGGAGGAGTTCGTGTGAGTTGTTGATGAGAGGCTATGGGCAATCGTACAACCAGATAAAGAGGATCTCATAGAATAGGACAAAATGGAGATGTGCTGTTGAAGCCCTATGTTCCACTCTGAATCCAAGGGGAAAATAATAATAATAATATTATCTTCGAATACGAAGTATTAAGCTTAAAGATCTCCATGGCATCATTCGAAAGAAGAGGTGTTCAGTAGAGAATTACTCATTTTAGGTTGCTACATCTACGGTGCACTTCAGGTTGTTGCATGAGACTGAAAAAAGTATCTTTTCACTGAATGTCTTTTCCTTCATATTACTAAAAATTGAACAGTTACTTACTTACTTTAATATTGAAATTAATTTTCCACGTGAAGATAGACGAACTTTGCTTATGGTTCGTCTATGTTCTCTGTTAAAGGTACTTCAATCCTTGTTTTTACAAACTTAATCCGTTACATTAGGCCGCTTCTTACCACATTTATACCCAATGGATACATGAAATCGATGATGTAATTGGATAATGCCAGATAGAGATAGACAATTTCAAATCTATTATCTCAGAAGTATTTAAGCCATTGTTGTAGGAGTTATTCACAGCCGATATTTACTGCAAAAATCTCATGACTGACTGACTGACTCATTCATATGGCGTCTGATCCTAAGACATCCTGATTCAAACTCACGTTATACAGTGTGTTAATAAATAAATATTAGGCGGAATTAATCCTAGTAGCAAATAGTTGCAGGATTGTTAATCTTTAAATCTTTAGTGTACTTGCCTGTTGCAGTTATCGTTTGCATTTTCTGTATTTATTTATTTATTTATCTATTTATTTATTTTTTCGACAGGCGGAAATACATTTAGTCGACATGGATAGTACATTGGTGGGACGCACTTCGTCAAACAACAACAATACTACTAATAATAATAGTAATCAAAATAATAATGGTAATAGAAGAATTATCTATCTGAACCAGTTGATTTTATCCTATTGTCATCCAGATACAACTGCAGTATTTCTCTATCTACCAAAACCCAGTTCAGATCTATCCTTAGCTGATGTCTATTTAAGTCAATTGAATATTTTAACTGATGCCCTGCCACCGACTCTGTTAGCACACGGTTTGCATGAGGTAACATCAAGTGAATTGTAATAGTGAATGTAGCAGTAATAATAATAATAATAATAATATCAAAAGTGGAGTGGGTTTTCTTTTGTTGTTGTTGTTAATGCTGACGGTGGATGTTCCGTCCCATTGTTCTTATTCATTTTTTATACTTTGTATCTCCTCCTCTTCCTTATCCTCCTTCTTTCTTTTGTTATTCTATTGATGTCGACTTGTGCTTATGGATCCTCTGCCTTACTTCACTGTTGTGTTGTTTGTTGGCTTTCTTATTATTTTTTTTAAAAAGTGATTGACTCTGGTTTTTGAATAATGACGATAATAACGAACAGGTTAACCTAAAAGGATGGACAATGCATAGGAAGTAATTGATGACTAATAGATTCTCTTCTTCTTCTTCTTCCTTGTTCTAGTGTTAGTTAAGAGCTCTATTACTCTGATTAGCAGTCACTTATTATTTCTAATGAACACAATAGCCAAGTGTACATTTCATCCTTTTGAAAACAATAGATACATATATGCACACACACAGACACACTCATACATACATACGCATGTATACATACACACACAGAAAGCATTAGATGATAAGTAACATACTGTGTTTCTGTCATTTAACTGTGCTTATTTACTTACTCACTTACTTGCTTACTTACTTGAACCTTTCATCAGTCATCTTTAGTTCCTACTTGATTGTCGCCGACCTCCTGCTAAGTACTACTACTTGAATCGCTGGCTTTAATTTTTTATTTACCACAATTTTTTTTTGTATTTTTTTTATTAAAAGAAAGAACCAAAAGGTGTACAAAACAGACAGAGAAAAAGTACAAATCAAAGCTCTTTTTTGAAGAGAAAAAAGAGATGTGTAATGCTTTCACTTTGAGATTAATATTCATGTGTTTTACGGTGTTGTCATAGCATTGTCTTCTTATTTCCAGTATTTTCAGCTTTTATCTCTCTCGCGTGTGTGTGCGCGCGCTCGCTCGCTCACTCACTGTCCTTTTGTTTTAACCAGTATGTTTTGCTTCTTGTTGCTTATGGTTTTGTTTTGGTCTTTTTTAACAGTTCAGTATTCTTATATATATATATATATATATATATATATATATATATATATATTGACTGATTTCAGTGTGTTGTTACTACAGCTTCCAACCTTCAAACACAACTTCATTTCTTTTACGATTATCATACATAAATCTTATTTTAAAGAGAAACATTATACAAATAATGAATTAACTAACATATTGCTTTCTGAGATTTATGATTATTTAATTACCTATAAGTGATAGTGACTATTATTCTTATTAATATTATTGTTAATATTATTATTATTATTACTATTATTGATAGTGTTACTAGTAATAATACTTTTTTCGAGTTTCATATATCTGTATATATATATATATATATATATATATATGGCTGATTCAAACGATGATTAACTTGACAGTAATGATAATAATACTAACAATAATAACATGTTCTTGTTTCTCATTTGTTTACCTTCACTGTTGAATTAACAAAAGTTGGTAATACCTTTCAGAAAAAACAAAAACAAAATTTTCTATCGAAGAGTGTGAATATTCATTCATCTGTACAGGAATGATTTGGATTATCAAGTGTTTGATTTACAAGGATTTGACTGGTTACAGGCGTTACCGCCCGCCTAGTTGAACGAACCTGTAACCAATGAAATCCCTGCTAACCAACACGTGTAAATTAATCTGATACACACTAATGACGGTGTATATATATATATATATATATATATATATATATATATATACAGGATAAAGTTCTCTGGAGTTTTAGGAAGCAGTTATCACAATTGGAGTGCACCATGTCAGTGTCACTCGTCAATGACGATTGTATACTATATGCATATCAAGAATTGGCAGAAATTGAGATTCATGGGTAGTGGTTGGATTGGGTCGCAGTGTGTGAATGGTCTATAAGCTTGCCTTGTAACTAGACGATTCTAGACACGATCACCAGTTGGCGCGTGCTACTGGCGAGTCCCAGACTAGGACAAAACAACTGTCTAGTACTCCCTGGTCTTGTTTCGATACCTGTCTAACTGATGTCAGCTCGTCATCAAATCTGATTTCAATTAGTTTGTGGGTTGGTTATCTGGAATATAAATCGAAGATAAGTATAAGTGTTGCTTTGAAATCCATCCAGAATGGTCGTTCAAGTATTTTGTGTATAAAAATGACCCTAGGAATGATGCGAACTACTCATAATTCGGGATGTAGATGTTTGAACTTCATTGTCCTTTAGGCCTTAATTGCAAGCGTCGCTAGTATTAGTCTGAACAGCGAATCCCGTAGTAGTTTTTAAAATAGGAGTTCTTATGGTGCTGTTTTAGCTTGCTTGATGTTAGTTTTTAGTCAGATTTGTGTGGGAAAACTATGCTTGAGATAAAATTCTAATAGGATGAGTTGGGAAAAGAAAACGAAATCCATCCAGCCTTCGCTTTCTTTCCAGTATTCTAGGTAATGCATTACTACTGTTAAGGTTTTTATCAGTACAATGCAACGAAATTAAGGATTAAATGACATTTAACAAATTCTGATGTCATCCAAAAAGGTCGTTATAGTATCCTGTGAGTTGGCCACTTCCATTACTTTGGAGTAATAATGTCTTCATTCCAAGCAGCGCTTTTGATGCAATGTGGAAAAAGTTGCTTATTTAGTGTTTCACAGTAAGTTAGTAGTGTCATGCGTAACACCTTTCTCATCAGATAAAATGGGTACTAAATACAGTATTGTAGTGTATTTATACTTAGTCGTCCGATCATAAAGTCTTCTGTAGTTACTTATAGTCCTACTTAATGCGACATAAGGACAGAAGAGGTGTGTATAAAAGAGATGTTCAGACTCCGATAAAATACTATTCACCTATTTCTTGCATGGCCTCACATGTCTACCTACAACAGCACTAACAAGTTGGTATCTCACTCGCCTTACCGAGTGCTCATAGTGAAATCTACTGATGTGTTTACACTAAATTATCATTTCCTTGGGCTCCAAGTTGGACATAGGGCTTCAACAACACATCTCCATTTTGTCCTGTTTTCTGCTGTCCTCTTTATCTGGGTCCACAATTGTCCATAATCTCTTATCTCTTTCTCACACTATCTCCTCAATGTCAGCCTCGCGCTGATAACCCACTCGTCCCTTCCTATTTGGACTGCACTCGGGGCCCGGCGCGCGATTTCATTCGACGACCTCCTCAACATATACCTGATCCATCTCCATTTTCCCTTACATATTTATCGAGCAATAAGCTTTTGGTTGGTTCGTCCATTGTCAGAGTTTCTTATTGCCTATTCTTTCTGGCCGACCATTTGATCTTCAGTATGGAGCCAGCGAAGGCAACTGTTGACAAAAGTCTGTAATCTGTTAGAAATCTTTTTCGTGACACGCTAGCCAAGTTTCAGACCTGTATTGAAGCACTGGCTGACTTACCACTTGTATTGAAAATCCGAATCTTGTTCTTCATGCTGGCTGAGCGTAGAAGATTTCCAAACTGATTTCAGGATGGTGAAGGTGTGTGTATCTTGCCTTTCCGATTTTGACCGACTTTAGTATCTTCATCCTTGCCGTGTGCCTGTAGTTGAAACGATGCTTCCTAGATAAGTGGAGGAGGCAACCACTGTTAGATTTAGCCCGCTGATGGTGATTGGTGCTGTTCGTTGGTTGGTTATCTTAATCACCTCCATCTTTTCTATGTCCCCCTGCTGTCCTGTCTTCGCTGCCAGCCTTTTCTGTCAGTTTTCACCTATCTCTAAGTCTTCAAGTTTGAGTGACACTAGACATATATCATCCATGCGCGAAATCCAGATCTTCGACAGTCTTCTCATCGGTCGTCCAGCGTATTGCTGTCTTCTCGCTCTCCACAGTCTGACGCATAATCCAGTCCACCACACTTAAGAATATCATCGGTGATAGTAGGCAGCCAGCTAGCTTGTCTTACTCATTTATGTACTTCGAACGCCTCACCGAGTTTTCCATTGTGTATCCCCTGACACGTGACATTGTTGAATGAGGTTAATAAATACTTGAGCACTTCTCTGTCAACACTGTCGAAGGCTTTTTCGAAGTCGATGAAGTTAAGATACATCTTTGACTGCCATTCTATGCTTTGTTATGTGATGACGATGCGTAGAGTTGTAGTTTGATCATCACGTGATTTGCCTTTCCTGAATTCAACTTGTTCTGGTCGGTGGAGCGGAGTTCTTCATCCAGTGCATCTTTTATTCTCTCCAGGATGACTCAACTTAGTATTTTACCTGGTGTGGACAAGTGCATTATTCCACGCAAGTTCTTGCAGAGTGAGGCGTAAGTCGCCCTTCTTTGGTAGCTTGACAAGGTAGCCTTTCTCCCAGTCATTAGACACCTTTCCTGGCGTCAGTGCATCTGCCACATTCTTTGAGTCCGTTTCCGGTGCTTAGGGCGGAATTCCGTCTGACCCTGTTGCCCTCCGTCCCGACTTCATCAGCTTAATCGCATTCAAGATTTCTGCTTTCATTGGAGGATTGGTGTCCACCAACACTAAATTGCTTAGGCACTATTATCTTTGTGTATGGATAGTATTTGTCTTCACAATAGCAAAAATCTTATTCTAGACTGAAACTGTTATGAGTACTAATGGAATGTTTCTCATCTAGGATATTAATGTCATATATTTATGAGCTTACATGTTTTCACCTTAAACTAAACGGTTGCAATTCCATTATGGGTAAATTTTGTTTTGATAAGGTCTCACAGTGTTATACAGTAATGTTTACTGATGACGTTTCGAGCACAATTTATTGCTCATAATCATATCAAGGTAATCACACGACCCCCTAAATTCATTTATATAGTTCCATTGTTTTTCTCTTGATTTCACATGATTTGATTGGTAATAGTATTTTCCATATTTCAGGTATGAGTGACGAGTCATTCCTATTGCATGTGTTGGGTGTAGACTCGATGAACAAGGATTCAGTAATCAACCTCTCTCTCCACCTACCTAGATTA